TTTGTCACGGTTTTGTTTTTTAAAATGAGAGAAAAAGGACATGCAGAAAAATTTCTGTTGACATTTTCTTAGAGGGAAAAGAAACAGTATTTTTAGTGATGCATATATTTTTGCTGAAAACATCTGTTTTCTGTGCGAAATACCAACTTTTCAGTTTGGCTATTACTGGCTCATTTATTGTCTTCAGCTGTAAAAGGAAATTAAGGTAACTTCTGAATATCTTGCTGCTTAATTGATATGGTTATGAGTCAGAGCAGTCTCAGACTCCCCTTTTGCTGCTAGGCATTTTGGCAAACTCTTGGGTAATTTTTTTTTCCCTGCACAGTAGCAGGAATGGGAAGTAATGTTCCATTCAATTCTTTCAGCTGTGACTACTATTAATTATTTTCAAGGTTTCCCTTAGGAAGACACTCTCACAGGAAACATGCTCTTAGACTCACCTATATGTGCAGGGTGGTTATGCCTTTGGAAGGTAAATCACTCCAGGCTAAGGGGGAAGATAACAATGTTTTTTTCTGTGAATTCTCATGAGGGATGTGGTTTCAGTGCCAAAAAAAGGGTTTATGGAGCAGTGAGATCCTGACTATATGAACACTGGATAGGTTAAACATTGTACTCAGGCTGAAGGATTAGTTTAAGAGTTATACGGTCACAAAGGAGGTAACAGAATTTACTGAAAATAGCTATTCAGGCATTAATAGGGAAATATTCCTACCAGTGTTCCCCCACATACTGTGCATGTAGCTTCAACTGTTGCATATACATCGCTTTTTACGTTCAACACTGGTTTTTCGTATTTCTCATAGCATTGCAAGTGAAGAGAAAAATTAGTGCTCAAAATCAGCCACAAGCATCGAACTCCCAGCTACACTGAAGAGGGGCAGCTGGCAAGGGCTGAGGAGGAAGGCAGGTTCAGGGTGTTTGGCTACTGAGCAGCCCCTGGCGACTGGCTCCCCCCATTACAGCCTCCTGCTTCTCTGGCTCCACCAAAGGAGCTCGGAGAAGTTTCCCAGAGTACAAACAACGGACTATGACAAATAAAGAAAGAGCACAGATACCAATCCGTGACTTACAAAAGCACCGACAAGCTGCAGAATAAATCATCACTTCAAAACAACGGGAACCTCTTTTTATTCCAAGTACGTAACTTGGATTAAAAAACAACCTGCGTCCCTTGTTTGACCTACTGAAATAAGGACTGAACACACTTCTACAGATATACTATCTTTTCACTTCATATTAACTAATGAATTACAAATGAGACAATGAAATGAGGGATTGTTGGTATTATTTCCCCACTGGATGCTACAGCACGTTAAAAAAGTTTACATTTCATGGAGAGATAACAATGGTCTTTTTTTGGTCATCTGTTGGAGCACTTGCTGCATTTGAATGATGAGGATGGGCAAGTTTTGACCCAAGAAAATCCTGCAAGCTGTAGAGTTTGCAGGTAAACAAACAGGAAAAAATCATCTGCTTCAGCAATATGTGGGATTTTTTTTTTTTTTTCTCTCCCTGCAACAGTAACTTTTTTTCTAAATACTTTCACCAGCTTCAGGAAAGGGTGGGTTAGAGTCAGGGGTTTCCTGAGCCTTTTCAGAACATGGTTTTAACGTAGCCGTGTGTTCAGAAGAGCCCCCAGAGAGTCTTGTTTTGGAACACTCTGACGCCTACACATTATTATCTTTGCTACGTTTTGCAGTTTTGTGTGAAATTTATTTTTAATCTTTAACAAAACATGCCCCTGTTTATCTTAAATTCAGAAAAGGTTTAATAATTTAAAACAAAATAACTTTTTAAATAATTAGATTTACAATGAATGCCAAAACATAAAAGCATAAAGCAAGTTAACAAGAAAGGGCTTCTTAAAGATCAAAGAAAATGTGTTTATTTGATTTGATTAAAAACAAATAAAAAGTACTTTCACTTTAACAGGTTATAACTGGCTGTTGACAGAAACCAGTGAAAGAGTTTCCCAGTCCCACAGGATAAAGGTTTTCTTCTGATAGAGGTTCACGTACTCAGAACTGATTGCCCACTGATACGTCAAAGGAATTGTATTTTGAAAAGCGACAAAGCTGCATCGATATTAAAAACCACGGATACAAAGGCAAGTTTCCTTGGACAACGTACTCCTTTTGCTATTATTAAGTAGGACTGATGGCACAGGTCAATGGGTATGTCTATCTTCCATCCCTCTCTACACAAAAAAGCTCTGAGAATGGGAGCAGCAAAAAGTATCTAGTGGAAAGGCAGGATATATTAGCTCAAAAACTGCTTTAACGTAGCAGTAGAGTTCCTAGAAGAGAGCTGGCTTCCATACATCTCCTCCTCCATGGGCAGAGGAGGCTGGTACGTAGCAGTACATAGCAGTCTTTGCCCCACCAGCCATGTTGTGCCTCTGTCATGACAAGTTTTGACAAGTTTTGAGTCCAGGGGGGAAGTTTCTCCCAGACACTTCAAGGGGAAAAGTAGAGAAATCTCATGAAACGAGGCCATGCTGGGATCCAGGCAAGAAAAAGCTAAGTAATTGAAACAGGAATTTGCTTCAAGTCAGGCTGTCTAAAACTTTGTTTAATGAGGTTTTATGTTTGTTAATACCAATTTAACTGCTAAAAGAGCATTTGAAACAGTATGGGCTTTTTTAAAAGAGTAAACACTTTCCTCATTTCTAAAAGATAAAAGAATCCATGGTCTAAAGATCGCTGGAAACCTCAGCGAAGTCCCCCAGCTAAACCAAAAAGACCAGATTTGACATTCCAGAAATGCTGAGGTAAAAAACATCCGGAAAATATTGAAGTCACTCATACATTTCAGACCTTCTCTACACAGAATCATGAAAAAAAAATTTCTTAAATAAATAGTAATTTGCAGGTTATCTTTAAAAGCAACATGTGAAATTCATCATCATAACCTTACATAAGTAATCATTTTAGATGAGTGATAGTTATTTTCACACTAATTTTAGAGTGTCCACATACCCTTTTAAAAGTGTCCACATAAAAGAACGGCCTCTTTAGCAACCACAGTCACTGCATCTCACTTCCCACCCTGTTAGCATCAGCCTGGAAGATGCCTTGAGACAGCCTATCCAGACCTGCAGGCCAGCAACAATCCCTGGCAGGCAAACTTCAGCTCTCAGGGCCCTGACTGCTGGGGCTGCTATGCCTGGAGCAGTGCCTGTGGGCTGCTGTCTGCACCCTGTGAGCCCGGGGGCTGGGGGAAGCCTTGAAGTCACCTGAAACACTGAAAGCAGCCCTACCTGTTGCTTCTGAGCAGTTGAAGCGCTCACCGCTTGCCACATGCTCTCATTTGTGATCAAAGGTTTGCTCAGCCTGACAGTTGCTCATGTAATTCCGCTTAACTTGCAGCTGAGAAGAATGAGATACTACTCCAATGATCCGCCATTGAGATGTTCACTGTAAGATAATTAAAACAAAGCTGGCTGTGAAAGAAATTGAGCCTCGCTCCAATTTAAAATACTTGGTAATTTGATGAGAAAATATGTGTGTGATTTGTGTTTATGTCTGGAAGTTTTCCCTAGCGTGAAAGCCTTTAAAGGAAAACCAGATCTTTCTTGCAATGTATGTTCTTTTATGTTATGCAGCCTAGCCTGTGGATTTCAGTGATGTCAAAAATGTACATGGAGTGACTGCATCCTGTCTGTGTCCTGCAAGAATGACTTTGAAAGTTAGATGTTTCATCTCTACAGTCATATCCTGACCAACAAACTTGGTCAATAAATAAATAGGTTTAATGACAAACCTAGCTTTTTCTGTAAGCTGCTGTTAAAACAGGAACTTGGTTTTTGTATTCACATCTATTCTATAATAATGAATTCAGCACCACAATATCCGAGTACCCATTATAATTACAAGATCAGAGAAACCTTTGTGGTACCCGTTTTCCTAAAAATGGTTTAAAAACCCCAGTCTTCCATTCTCATTCTTTTGAAGTCTTCACTCCAAGCCTAAGACCTGAATACAAAGGGCCAGAACTTTTGTTAAGAATGTTTTTCTTTTTTTTTAAAATGGTGAACTGATTTTGCCTAAGAAAGAAGAAAAAGGTGTATAAAGCGTATAATTTTTTCATTAATTTTTTCCAAAGCTGAGTGTGCCATTAAAACATATATAAAATTCACATTTAAATATCACTTTTTATGCAAGATTTGGTGTTTAATGGTCATGGATGAAATTTGTAGCAGCAGGACAATTTGGGGCAAATTTGAGCTACAGGTCTCAGAAGAAATGCATAAAATAGATGAGCCAGACACACATGTGGAGTTATGCATCGAAATCTGTGGAAAACTTTCTTATGATTGTTGAAAAGTTTTTCACCAGTTCTTTAAGTGCAAGCTACTATTAACCCTAATATCATACTGCTATAGTTGCTATTCATATGTGTCTATTAATAGAGTATCTACCCACCCTTCTCAAAATTCATTTCCAAACATTAACCTGCTGCAGGCCCATCCCTGTCGGTCACGGACAGAAGACCAGGGTCCCTGGCGCACCCTGACACCTCTCCTTTGCACAGTGGTGCCCAGGGAGGTGCCAGGCCCAGCCCAGCGCCAGATGCTGTCTTTACCTCAGGAAACACCGCTGCCTCATTTTGCTACCTCTGGCTGCCAGGGAGCCCGTCAACCCAAGCTCTCTGCTTTCGCTGCCTGTGGCCCACTGGGAGAGAGGACGGGTTTGACCAAGAAAAGCCCCCCTCACCTGACGCCACAACATGGCCGCCTGGGCAGCTTATGTGGGAAGCCACTTGGCCAACTCCAGCTCCTTCCTGGAGCCAGGGTGGTATCACAACAGCTGGGTTTTGTGGGCACAGTGAGGCAAGTCCGCGAGCAACACCCCTGGAAGCAGGTAAGCCACGGCCGAGCTGGGCACAGGGCCGGAGGGAGCCCTCGCCCCTCACACCACCTCAAGGCCCGGCCGCCGCCATCATCCCAGCCCCGCCCCCCGCGCGGCCCCGCCCCTCCCCGCGCTCCCTCCTTGCGTCTGACGCAGCGCGCCGGGGGCGGAGCGGAAGTGAGGAGGAGGAGGCGGCGGAAGTGGCTGCCGGTGTGCGGACAAGATGGTGAGTGGGGGGGCTGGCGGCGTCTCTGGAGCGATGGGGACCGGACCCGGTCGGTGTGGCGTGTGTGCGCGCGCGCATGGCTACCCCTCTCCCTATACTTGGTCGTTGGGGTCCTCGCGGGGGGCAGCCCTGGGGCGAGGGGCGGTGGGGCTGTGCTGAGTCACGGGGGTCCGGCGCGGCCATGGCGGGCACTCGTGCTGCCGGGTCGGGGGCCCTCACCGGGGAGAGGCGTCCCTCCTTCCCCCGCTGCCTGCTGCGCCGGCCGATCTCCGCTGGGCATCCTCATGGGTCGGAGAGGCGCGGAGGATGCGCGGCTGCGGTTAAAGCCCTTCTTGGAGCGGGAAGGATGGGGAGGCCGGGAGAGCCGGGCCTGCCTCCGCCTTCTGTGGTGGGTGGCAGCGGTGTGTGACTGCCTGAGGTGGACCAGGCACCGGCGTGGCCTGAGGGCGTTACTTTTGGGGAGTATTTAATGATTTTCTCCTTGCATTTGACTTCCACATTGATCTTCCCTCTTGTCACATCTTCCAGGTAGTGTATCTCTTTAATGCATTCACTTACAGCAATCTTAAAAAGGTCCCCTCAGTGTTGAATACACTAGTTGGTCGGAGCATTATATGCATGCAATAGCGCATACTTCAGGGGTTTTTAATACCTGTTATTTCCAGCTAACGTGTTAGTACAAATAACCCTTAGCTGTAAGCGGGAATTTTCTGTTGGATCCGGCAGTGCTGCTGGAGGAAACTCCTGCACTGAACAGCTCATCACTGTCACCGTCCGGAGATTATTGCTGTCACCTTCCAGAGTTTATTATACATTGGCCTATTGGTGGAACAAGTTGTATGAACAGTCCCAAAATCACTACAATAAAATCAAGCAGGTTATCATGAAATTAGCAGTCTGGGTTAAGATGGATTTACTTTGTCTGTTTGTGCTTTTCTGGTGTTCTGCTACAAATTACTGGTTTTTTTCTTTGCTCTTTCAGTTAACTGGCTAGTATACTAGAACACTTGAATACAGCTTGTTCTCTTTATGGCAGCCTTAAACCATAGATAAAATCAATTTGATCTTACTTGATTGTGTCTGTATTGAAACAAATGAAGGAATGCTCAGACATGTTCCTTTCTGCCCTGTCAGCGGAGCATGACCTGCCTTCTTCCTTTCTGTCCCTGCAGCCCAGGGTGGGAATGAACAAGGGGTAATTGTGAGTTTAACTATTTCAGCCAGATCCAAAAAATTTGTTATCAGTACCTTTAACTGTTATCAGACTTTCTGTAAGAATTAATGGTGTAGTGTGGGTTTGTGGGGTGGTTTTGTTGGGTTTTTTTTTTTCCTTTTTTTTTTTAAGAGATTGTAATGTCTAGGTCTTGCATGTGAGTAGTTTGAGAAGTCTTTGAATACTTTATTTCATTTGCCTGACCTAATGGCCTATGTGAAACATGTCTAGTTCTGTTAAAGTAATCCTTGCTTTTTTTGTGTTCCAGAATCCAAGAGGTGTTTCTTCTTTGTTGAAGGATACTATCCCAATTACTGACTTTTCACCTTCAGGACTATTTGAAGGTCATGACCTTCTGCGTAGAGGGTATGCTTTACTTTTTTTTGTTGAATTTTGCCATAACCAGTGTTGAAGTTAAGATACAGGAAGAAAGTATGCTGGCTTTTTAAAGAAGGTTCTTGGAAGGTGTATCATAAAATCTATAGCTTAAGGTGCATATATTTAATCAGATTGTCTTTCAAGAGTAAAGTTTGTATGAAGCATCAAGAAGAACATTAATGTTGAGTTTTACGTGTGTGATACTACTCTTTAGAAAAGAGATGACAAAGTATTAATATTTATGAAATACATTCTCATTTTAATATACATGTATATGGGTGCTATAGCACTGTGGGAAGTGGCTAATTTCAGCATTAGTACAAAAAGTAAAGTTAATATAGTAAACAGTGGATTTGGGTTTTATCATTTTACATGAGTGCAAAACTATGTACATGTCTTGGATAATGAATCTAAAATAAGTTTGTGGAGCTTAAAATGTGGGTAACACAACTGTGGGTGTGGGGGGAAAGTGTGTATAATACTCCGTTGCAAAAGATTGGAGACTTCTAAAATCAGATACCATGTATCCTGGACATAATTAAATCATGATGTTTTCATTTATTAATATTCTTCTCTGTTTATGAAAAGGGTCAAGGAAGAAAAATTGTCATTCTGTTTTGTCAAACTTAACAATTTACCTGAATTTTTAATTTACCTGAATTTTAAATTCTTTTTCTTCTGGTACTGTTGCAGTTAGAGCTCTTATTTACTGCTTTGCCATTAAGTTTGGCGGGTTTTTTTTGTAGTTCAAACTGTGCTAATTGTGTGTGTCTGTGGGCTGATATTTGTGTCTGAGATTAGTTTTGAAATGCAACTTAAAAAACAGTATCCTGGTTAATTTGAAGTTCAATTTCTTTTTTTTTAACTTCTATTTCTAGCTTTACAAGTGTGAAAAATGAATTGTTGCCCAGCCACCCATTAGAGTTGTCAGAAAAAAATGTAAGTGTAACATCAAATGTAGCCATCTTCACTCTTAACTAATTATGAAGTTTAAGTTAACGGTGTGGTTACCTGGACTGCTTTGTGTGGTAACAAGTAATGAGTAGGGTCTTGCCTTTAAGAGAATAAAGATGTTCAACAATAGTAACATTTTATTTATACAGTAACACTGTTGGCAAATTTGTTTAATGTTAACCTCCCACTTGTGGCTCTGTCCACTTCAAGTATGTCAGTGGGCTTCTAAGTAGACCTTACTTAGTAAGGTCTAGTAGTCTAAAAGTTATTAAGCTAGTTGTGCATGCAGCCCCTCTGGTTAGGTGGGGAGCACACCTGTCCTTTCAGGAAGTCTGATCCTCCCATTTTGTCTGTAGATTTACCATATGCCTTCATTTTCAGATTTTCAGTTTGTGAACATATAAGTATTTTTAATTACTTGATCCTGTCTAGAAATTTTGTAAGTTATTCAGCTTATTGTAAGTGTATGCAGTCTTGTCTGGCTTAGACATGACTAGTGAACCACTGAAGAGTCTCTCTGGACCGTAGGTTCAAGGCAAAGGGAGACTAGACTGACAGCCTTGGCTAAATAGCTGATTGAAATAAATCTTGTCTCTGGTGCCTGTTTTGTCAGCACAGACATTAAAAGCATCCACTAATAAATAGATTTTGTCTTTCTGATCAATTTTAGAGCAGTTGGTAAAATTATGAGCTTTCTTTTACTTTTCGGAGTCATATGGAGTATATGTGGTGCTGTGTCTTCCTGCTTGATCAGAAAAGTATTTCAAGTGTTTTCAAGTAGAGTGATGGCTAACAGTAACATCAATTTGTGTTCTTACCTTAAACCAGACTTTGCTTCCAATTCATGTTGACAGCATTGTAGTAAAGTAGTGCAAGACTACACCACTTGGTGGTGTTACATGTCCTGATTGTCAAAAATAACAAAATAAAATTGCTACTATTGATTTGTAATAAAATCCAGCAAAAATAAATTTCAGTTTAATAAAACAAATATTGCTGCATCACTATATTTTGTGTACATTTGAGACATATGATGGAATCACTGCATTTTTACATACAAATTTAATAAGGAGTTCACAAATCGTAGGAGGTCAAATATCTCTTCTGTGGTTGTACTTGAAAGTAACTTTTTTCTAAAATAAAAATCAATGTTGTTACAGTACCAGCTAAATCAAGATAAGACAAACTTTGACACGCTGAGAAATATTCAAGGACTCCATGCACCTTTAAAGCTGCAGATGGAATTCCGAGCAGTGAAACAGGTAGGTGTTTTTATCTGACTGGTGTAACTTAAACCACTTTAAAAACTTTTTATCTCAAAACATGCTTTCAGAGCATTTCTTTGTTGAAATACCTTATGTTTTCAAAAGAAATTCTTTCACTGGACTGTTTTTTTTTTTTTTAAAAAAAAAAAAAAAGAAAAGAAAACAATCTAAACTTTTTATCTCAAAACATGCTTTCAGAGCATTTCTTTGTTGAAATACCTTATGTTTTCAAAAGAAATTCTTTCACTGGACTGTTTTTTTTTTTTTTAAAAAAAAAAAAAAAGAAAAGAAAACAATCATTGCAATTAATAGTTTCCAGAACAGTCAATACGCTGAAACCTTTCAGCTGCCATTCCTGTATTGGTTACTTGGTGAAGTGGTAACTGGTCTAGGTTTTCTGTGTTTTAGCTTTCTGTAAGCCTTTAGAGAAAAGCAGGAGGAATTGAGTATTAATTCCTAAAGTTAATACTCTCCTCTGTAGAATGTATAGCCTTCATGGGAAGGAATCTCTGCATCTTTAGGGCAAAGAGACTTAGGGATGTGAGGCAGGTAGTGATTTAGGAACAGATGTAGACATAATGTGAAACGTGAAGCAGAGAATTTGCTATGTGCTTACTGTTCTGCAGCCTTTCTTGTACAGTCAGGCAGGGGAGATCTACAGGGAGTTAAGTTCAAAAGTTTTAACTCTTAATTGGGAAGTTGAGTTTGTCTCCTTTTCTCCTAGAATGGGGAGTAACTGGAGGGAGTCTGTCCCTTAGGAAACACAGAAAGCTTATTGGTCCTAGTAAACTTTTTTGGCCTGTTGAAGATTGCCAATCTACTAAGAGTTGTTTTTCCGAGTGATTTGGGACAATTTTACACTCCCAATGAATCGGGTGCTAGTGAACCACACTGAGCTGCACTAAACTTGGCAGAAATTACAGGTCCTGAAGGTGTGGAACTCAGACAGGATGTATTAAAATATCCCTGGATCTCAGCTGTGCTGTCTTGTGAGGACAAAATTTTCTTTTTCCTAACTGATGTTAGCACATGGCAGAAAATGAGGCAGGTGAGGGTATCCACCTAGTGTGTCTCCACAGGTATTCTTGGGTGCATGGGGGGGAGATATGGTGATTAGGTTTTTCACTCCTAGCTTCGTGTTAGATATACAAATTCTCATGTGGTTTAATTTTACTTTGCTAAAATATTTACTGGATGTGAACTTCTGACAGGTGTACCAGTAGGGATTATGGAAATATTGGACAAATTTTGTGCGTAAAAAATGGAGTTAGTTGATAATTTTATGGTTGTAAAATATGTTCATGGTCTAGCTGAAGTACCACTACTAATAGTGGTACTAATACAGATATGCCATTCTCAGAATATTTAAAATCTGAGTGCTGCGGGTACCACTTAACTTTTTTTTTTTTTTTTTTTTTTTTTTTTTTTTTTTTTTTTTTTTTTTAATACTGTGGGTGAAGGGTACAGAAGAGGGTGTTGAACATAGCTGGGAGTGGACTTGAAGCTAAAGAGCTGGTGAGGATCGGAGAAATATGATCTAGATCAATTGCAAGGAGGATTGTGCTTAGATATGAAAATCAATATCGCTCTTTCACTTGCATTCCTGACTTGTGTCAAAGATGCTGGGAACTTAGAATGTGGTTTCCAGACCCTGGAGCATATGTCAATTGTCCTATACTGACCTCAGGGCATCGATGTGTTTGTTGCAGTGAGCCTCCCCAGCTTTATGTGGTAACAGAGCAGAAAAAAACCTAGTTTTTTAAACTTTGCTATTTGCTGTAGTAGCTACAAATCTAGTGAAAGGCTGTTCTTTTCTATAAACAATAGAAAGTGGTGGTGTTAGGTAGGTTTTGCTAGCTGTGGATGCCAATAAATAGTTCTCTTATTTCATCGTCATTGTTGAAGGAAGAAGTGACTTTGCCTGTTGCTTTTATCAGTCCCTTCTGACTGAGAAATCCAAATATAAAACTCCTCAATTTCAGACTTGCAGGACCTTGAACTCTTGCTGTCTTTTTACAGGTCCAGCGTCTCCCATTTCTTCACAGCTCAAACATGGCACTGGATACTCTGAGGGGAAATGATGAATGCATCAGTTTTGAGGATATCCTTAATGGTAAATACATTCTGTTTTGAATATTATGGAAACATTTAAAGGTGAAATTTGGGATCTGTGGAGTTCTTTGCCTCTACAGAATAAGAGAATTAATCACACAAAATACAAATTAAAAATTGAATTCCTAAAGGCAAAGTAGCACTGGGGGGAGGAAAAATGAATGTGGTTTAGCTGCTAGTTGTGTGCAAATGAGTCTGAAATACTGACCAAGCCGCTATTTTGCTTGTAGGTTAGGTTTCTAAAGGAGTAGAAGATTATGCATTTCTGTTGTAAGCCTGTTTCCCCAGAAACTTTTGAACTACTTGTGCAGATTTTGACAGGTGGAGGTTACAAAGATACAAAATTTTTATAAGTTCTATAATGAAAAAGAAAGAAAGGCTGTAGGAGAGATACCAAAATAATGAACCAGAGATGTGGCAGGGGATAGGAAGACTCAAATAACCTCAACAGTTTGTGGTTGTGTCGTGGGCTACTGACTGACAGTTACTAAGTGTGGAATAGAATAAACCTGGAAAAATAGTTCTTAAAAACACCCTGTTTCTTTCTAGCTGGTGGTTAAGGACATGGAAGGAGGCAGAGGGTATTTTGAGATGGGACTGGAGAATGAAAAGAGTCAGGGGGATAGGAAACCAAAAGTAATGGAGGGGTAAGTGGGTAATCTAGAGCATGAGGTAAATCTGGGATTATTTTCTGAGGTGGATTTACAGGGAACAAGGGAAGGAATTTCAGGTTATTGTGGTTCGGGGGGTAGAACAATGTCAAACAAAATTTATAGGAATTTGATTATTTACTATTGTTCACAACAAGCTGTTATGCATTTATACAGTGCTAAAGAGTGAGTGAATAGTATTTTTGGTAAGGTTCTATTTATCAGCTGGGGCTGGAATAGATAATTTTGGTGTCTCTGAAGGAATTGAAGGAATCAACATGCCTTATTTATGGAAGTAAACCACTCCAATAACACCCATAAAGAAAGGTGTGTTTCTTCTAAAGTGCACTCACAACCTTTTTTTCTGGCCTTGATTTTTTTTTTTTTTTTCTGGAAGTGAAGTTCATACTGCCAGTATTGGCATTTCTTGTGCTCTCTGCACATTGCTTGATAACCTTGGAGTACAGTAGCTAATGTGAACCCTACTTTACAGAATGGAGGAAATCTCAGGAATCTTTATAAGCATAGAATTTCTGTGAAACTGGGCGGTTAGGTGGGGAAGAGAAACCATGAGGGTGTCCCAACTGGGGAGTGAGCTCCTGTTGTGCAGAGAAATTGCACTGGAAAGATGTGGGGCACCTATAGGGAAAAAGCTTCAGTCAGACTTGAGTTCTCGTAAACACAAAACTCAATCAGCCTTGAGATTCAGGCTACAGGACACTGTGCTTACGTAGAACAGGTTCGTTTCACTTGCAGAGTGTGTGTGTCCTTAGGAAACACTGTTCCACTGTAAGTGTTAATTTGATCATTGCTTTGGGTAGGGACTTCAGAGTTACAGACCTGCACTGTGCAACGCTGTCAAAAATTAGTTGAGTAACTGTTGCACTAGGCATTAGAATGAGGGGGGGGCGGGAAATAAATCATGTTCATAGCTATTATTGGTCTTTGCTGGATAAAAGCCTCATGCTGTCAATTTTTTTTTTTTCCAGATCCTTCACAGAGTGAGGTTATGGGAGAACCACACATGATGATGGAATACAAGCTTGGTTTATTGTAACAAAATGTACTCCACCAAAATGTTTTGTGCGTGTCTTTCTAGTGCAGATCTACATCCATGATACTGAATTGACACTCACAGCATTAAGCAGTCCTACAGTTATCATTTGCCTTCCTTGATGAAAAGGCACATTAAATGTTTAAAGTCTATAAATTGTTCTGTGCTTGTTGTCAATTATATAAATGTCCTGTAACTAGGTAGTTTAAATAAGGTCTCTTTATACACTGCTCAGGATAATAGCTTCTTAACTATGGAATACTATATATGTATACACAAAATCCCAAAATACCCATGCATTTTAAAACTGATTACTGTAGGAAAATGCATTTAATGGATGTTCTTGCAGAAGAACTTTTTAAGGGGGAAAAGAAGGTATTTTCCTTTGAGTAACTTTGTTCATGAAAACTTCCATACACTTTTTAAACTATTGAATAAAAGTTTGCTACAAATGCTGTTGTGTTCCAAAATATATTTAATTGTAAATCAAGAATCTCTTATCCACAACACAAACAGTGTTGTTCCTTTTTCTTGCAGTATTTTTAAAGATCTTTAACTTCTGCCCTACCAGTGGAATCCTGCTGCATACATTTTATCCCCCCCGTTGACAGTTGTTCATGGGTGAGGCATTAAGCTTTTGTTTATAATTGGAAGTATTGATGTAAGAAGGGAGTTAAAGGTCTCGATTTTTTCATCTGTGTCCCTGAGACGATATCCTGGTTTCTGAAAGTAGAAGCAAGTACCATTTGGAGTTTAAAGAGGTGTTTTAAAATCCATAAACGTAATCCAAATGAGCCCTCCTAGATCTAGGTATTTTAGTACTTGGAGACTAAGAAAGAATGCAGTGCCTAATTATGACAGTACCTAATAAAGCTGCTGCAGTGAGAACATGAAGATACAGTGGTACTAGATGACAAATACTGAAATAATTTTTTGTGGGTTTAGCAGAATCAGATCTTAGTTAAGGGAGGACAAGAGATCTATAGCTAAATATACCTTTTAAAGCAGCAGGCCGCTCTAAGGTTTTTTTTGTGTGTGTGTGTTATTAAGTTCAGGGTTGTAACAACTATTTTCTGATTTCATACATGTGCATGTGTCATGTAAATCCTGCAAGGCAGCTAATATGATGTGGCATATTAGGAGGGAAAAAAAAGTTCAAAAGATGTCATCTCTTGTTGTATGTGGGGAGCTTGAAACAATGTTTCTAAGACAGAAACTGTCTTTATTCAGCAGGTTTTCATGACTTGGTTAAACCGCTAAGTGCACTCAGTGTTCTGTTGCAGATAATTTTAGCAGAAATGTTGCTATAAACCTCTTCTCACAATCCCAAACATCTCCAATATGCTTAAATCTGCCACAAATTCCCTACCCATGTGGGCGAAAGCCTCTAGCTTCCGTCCTGTAAATTTTACAGTGCTTTCATGTACATCTGTTGCAAAACACAGCAGCAAATTAAAAACATTGAGATGACACTGTATGAGATACTTTACTGGTGGTTTTATTTGGTTTGATATTTAAACTGGTTTCATTTAAGAAGTGAAGCTTCTAAAATTGTCTTTCACTTGAGAGTAGCAGAGATTGGAGCAATGAAATACCAGCTATTTAATTTGTACTTTTTGCCTTAGTAAGGTTAAACATAGGACAAATAAATTGAACATGCAAATGTAGACCTACTCACTGTTTTCTGTAGCTGTCCTGGTCCTTCTGTGTGCTGATATACTTCATTAAATATCAGAATTGGCAGCTATTTTATAATTGACAAGTTTTCTGGCAGTTCTGTATAAAGCAAAAAAGTAAACTGTTGTTATAAAGTATGATTGGGGTTGAGTAGACTTTGTATTGCTCTATGCTCAGGCCAGAAAGGCTGAGGGATTACCTTGCCAGATCTGGGGCAAATTAGGGTACAGGCATGGATTTTTAGGAGGATTTTCAGGTTTGCCTTTCTTCCAGCCCTGTTCAGAAAACAGGGAGCCGCTGCATCGTTGTACACAGTTACTGGTACCTTGTAGCTCCCTGCCTCCGTGTATGTATCTAGTTGGCCTTTCCTGATGTTGGTTGAAAGATAGATGCTGTTGTATCACAGCAAAACTACATGAAGACAAGTAATTTAGTGGAGTTTCCCCGTGCAGCGAAGAGTGGACGCGGATGAGGAGGCTGGATGTGATTTTGAGGTGGTTTTGTTCAAGGGTTAGAATACTTTATTACAGTCTTGGGTGAGATCAAGCCATATTCGGAGCAAGGAAGTGGCATTGTTTGTTACATCTCGAAGGAGCTAATTTTAGGGGTTAGCCAGGCTGGAAAGCAAATGGTGTGTGTTAAGAGGCCTGTGTTAATAATGTAACAGGCGTCAAACAGGACTGAGGCAAAGAGCTTTGGAGATAAAAAGGGAAGGGTTACACTTGTGCAGTGTTGCAGCGTGTTGAGTTGGGGACTGGGCTTCCTGCCCCAGCCTTTCTCCTCATTTCTACAAGCATTTCTCATCTTATAAAGCAGGAGCTGCAAGTAGCAGCCCCTGGGGAGTGACAGGCCAGACGTGCTGACAACCAGAGATGGGACAGACTCCACCATGGTCTCATGTGGGACCCAGCCCAGGCAAGAGGAGGAAGGTGCTTGCAGACCCGCTGGTTTCACAGATGCCACACAAGTCCCCTCACTGTCTTCTTGGAGATGGCAGTGCTGTCCCTGCTCTGCAGTTCCCCACCTCTTCTTGGTGCTGATGTTCTGGGCAGCCCCCTCTCCTCTCCCTAAGTGCAGGAGGAAGGCAAAAGCAAGTCTTCCTGCACTGCTGTTTGTTTGTTCTGATTGCAAAAAAAGAGATGATACCACAGTGCTGCTGCTTCTGCTCACACAAACATTCCTCCACCAGTCATCCCCTTGGCCATTTGTCAAAAACCAAAGCAAGAACTACAAATACAACATAAGAGTTTTAAAAAACAAACTTCATTATTAATTTCTGTCAAAATAATTTGCATTTATATACAAATAGAGCAACTATTATACAGTTGGAAGATTTTGATTTAATAATCTGAAGCACATTAGTACCTGATTTCCTCAGCTTGCACTGTGCTAGGCACTTCGAAACCACAGTTCATATCCTTTGTGTGTTTTGACCTGAACTTACAGCCAATTCTAAGCGCTGCATCTACCAGAAATACTTTGCAAACAGCAAGTACTTTGCACAGCAAAATCAATCCACAACAAAGCCATTCCTCAAGTGAATGTGTTTGTTCTCATTTGAATGGACACAGTGTCACTGTGGAACGGGCTCGCTGTGCTGTTACCTCCCGAGTGCTAGCGGAGGTGTGCACTGGAAAGGAAGTGAAGGCACACACCATCTCTCAATTTGCTTTACTTCTTTCCAGCAGTTTTGTGTGAAATAGTTAATTTTAAAAAGCCTTACATAACTGCATGATGACAAGGCAAGAAAGACAATGTAACCTTTGTGCTGAAATCCTTTACATCAGTTTTGTTAATCTCTCTACAAGTCCTCATTATGTTTTGGACCCTACTGATTATTGTAAATCTCAGCTTCTCCAATAAGTTGGCAGCAACTTGGGCACCTCAAGGGAGGAGAGTTAAGCAGTTTTATTTACTGGCCAGTGTCTAAACTAGTTAAGAAAAACTAATGAATTTTAATTGCCAACATCAGCCTTGGTAGTTCAGGACAGAAGTCTAGGAGCTGGCCGTAGTTATCAGCTGTGTAAATATTCATTCCCCTGGTCCTGGATAAACTGCACTGTTTTCACCAATGATGGTCTCCTGGATAGTGTAAACTCTCCTTTACCTTATTTGAACCCTCTTCAGAAGTTCTCAAGTGATCAGGACACATAGCTTGGAAACAATGCTGTCATTCAAACAAAAAGAATCTTGCAATAGTATCATGATGCGGTATTAATTTATTTTTGTGGAGTACCGCTGAGAAGCTCTGAGGGCTACTCTGTTCCTGTGATGGATATTAATGGCTGTAAGCAGATTGTTGATTACACAGCATATGCTGTGTCCGTCCTCATTTTTATCCTAAGCTGTGTGCCTGTGAAGTCAGGACCCACATCATAGTTGCTTTCCTAGAGTTTTCCTTCTGTGACTGTCAACCACTTTATGTTATTTTGATTCCTCTACCTAATCTGTTTTGGGGAGGTGAGTCACATACAACCTACCTGTACTTTCAGGGATCAGAACAGTATTATCTGTCCAGCTCTCTCAGAAAAAAGCACAGGGGAGCGGTCCTTGATGTGGTGTTATATTTACACGTCTGCTGTGCTGTGCACTCCAGAAGTTAATACTCTGGACAGTTTCTACTCAAAGATCTCAAGCAAGAAGGTGATGAGTCAATGCAGAAAATGATTTCTATGTTTGGCTGTCTCACCCGTTTGCACTGTGGCCCTGGACAAGTGTCTCGTCCTTGCTGTTGACTTCTCTCTCACTGCAACAGGGAAGATAATATCTATTATGGAAGGAGGCTCTTAATAGCATTTGTAAAGTGCTTTGAAGATGAGAAGATGAGAAATGCTGTTCAAGTGCTCTTAAATTACGCTGCATTCATTGCAAGATGATTAGATGCATGATTCAGATTTGGTTACCTCATCTCAGGGTTGTTAAAAAACACAGTCAAAGATCCAGTGAAAAGAAAGGCTATTACAGCCTTTCAGTAGAAGAAAGGTGGAAGTACAGTACAGCCAATTTAACTAGAAAACAAGAAATATCTACAGGACAAAAAATAGAGGTGTCTGTATCCAGTCCCTAATATATGGAAAATGATAAAAATAAATGTGCAATATGGCCTCTGCAAAATGTAGGCATGGGCCTAACTTCACACTCTGCAAGCTGGAGATTTTGTAAGTATGACAGTTCCCTGTGAAAATCCATTTTAAGAACTAAGTCACAGGCAAGGTCCACACATCATACATTAAACTTGCACAAAGACTCTGTGCAGAGCAGTCAGTCTGCGTACAGCAGGGGCAAGTACTGCCTCCAGTCTGGTGGCTTTCTGAAAAAAAAGTACCTCTTAGCTTAGTAATTTTAGACAGGTTTGGGGGATTCACCATCAGAACAGGCCTTTTAAGATGTACACAGCAGACCACATCCTCAGCTGGCACGAGCTCCAGTGGCTTCAGCAGAACTGCCAGCACCCTCTGAGTTGACAGGCGTTATCTCTGTCCCTCACTCAGAATGACACAGGATGTATCACAACGCACAGCTGACGCTCTCACACTTGAGAAAGGGGTAAGTGGAAAAAGAGTATCATCCTACCTCATTTTTTCCTTCATGCTGAAAGCAGCATTCAAATCTCTATTGCCGGCCTATTTGCATAGTTAAGTCTAAGAGCTAGCTCTATTCAAGTGCTAAAAAATGACTGGATAAAGAGCGCTACCAATTTAGTGCTTGTTGCTGCAGGGCTGCTTTGAGACTGGGCCTGCAACTGCTGTGTTATCTCTAGGGTCTCTGTATGACATAATGGTCTCTGCCACCACAAGTCAGAGGAGAAAACCCAAGCAGACGAATCCTTTGTTCAACTCTCCACGCTCTCGATGCTGGATACTTCTTCAGGTACGAGCAGAGCCAAGTCCTCCCCGTTCCAGCTTGTGCACAGAAGCCAGCTGTGAGACACAGACAGGACAGGCAGCTTTAGCTGAGATGATAGTTACCTATAACACGCTGATTCAGCAGCAACACATGCACACAATAGCTCTGTTACAGCCATCTTCTGTGGCACAGAGCTGTTGACATCTCTTAGTAAACAAAAGCAATGACGGTACTTGCCCTTTATTACACGTTAGACAATATCATTACTTCTGTCTTTGGTAAGTACTAAACCATTATTTATTACAGACTGGAACATCTACCCTTTCTGCTCTTGAATAGTAACGTTGCATGACACCTTCAAAAGAAAGGTTTTAGAGAGAGGTTATTCAAAGGGTGGGATATCTGAGACACTAGTGACGGAAGGAAAAGAAAAATAACTTTCACAAATTTTTGGTGATGATGGACTACAGCCCTGATTGCAGGATGGACTAATTAAAAGCAAATATCTGTTACCTTTTGCACAGAAGAGAGTGCTTTCTTAACAGAAACTCTCTCTACAGCACTGAAATAAACTAATATTTAATAAAACAAGAATTTCCTGGGCCTTTGTTAATATAACTGAATTTCTCAAATTTTTTTATTACTTTACTGAAAACATATTCTCCACACACACACAAGATCCCTTTGCTTCAATTCCTTCAGAGCTGAGACCCATCACTACCTTCATCTTCAGTTTCCATTAGTGCAGCTTCTCTGAATAGACTGCATAAAACACTGTAGTCAGGCAGGCACAGACAAGAAATTATGTGAAATGTTGTAAATCTATAGCATTATCACTGCCTATTTAAAACTTCAAATGCAGCTAATGTAGAGATAAAAGGTGAGGGAGGTGAAGTCTAAGCATTAGGTAAAAGACAGAAGTCTCCAGCAAGAGTACCACCCTCTTAAAACAGCTTTATTCCCCCAAATGTAAATCTATCTAATGAAAAGTGATTCTTCTGTCATTACATCTATGTTCCAGCATGCTAAAAAGACGCGATTTATATTGGAAATACTATAAAGTGAACTTTGCTTTTATGAAACTCATGAATAATGACCTTTCACCGTCAGCATTATGAGATGGTCACTAGATATGATTAGATGCAAATACTATAGAGGCATGTTTTTAAAATATGTCTAGAGGTTTATTCATATGGGGCTTGGAGTTAGTGCAGATGTTTTACAGATTTTAATGGCACTGGGTCACAAGGTACGCATGACCAAGGAGCAGGACAGACAACTTCCATTGAAGTCACTGGGTGATTGTTCATGTTTATAACCCTCGTTAGCAACTAGAAAAGCTCAAGACTGCAAAATGAAGCTCATGCCTTTCAAGTGATCTGTTACTTTTGTTCTTTGTGCAAGGCTTTCCTGTAAGAAAGACCATGTAAAGGTCTCTAACCAAGGGAAGGCACGCACGGGCAGACAAGGATGTGGTGTACCACACTAGTAGCACACTCGGGGTAGGTTTCAGTTTGGGGGAAAGAGCTGACAAGTTCACAGCATGGAGCTGAGAGGAGGCAGCTGGATCAGGGCTAGACAGGGCTGGTGATGGAAAAACTCCAGCATGGTGTAGGGGAGTACATGTTGAAGAGAGAAAAACCAGGAAACTGCAGCCACCTGCAGCTGCGGAGCCACTCCACTGCGCTCAGGGACTGGTCTCAAGCCTCACTGAGAGAAAGCAGCCCCCTCCATAGCATGGGCTCCCTTTCTCCTATCTGTTTCCCCCAGGGAAGAAACTGCCATATTCCCTCATTTCAGCTCTGCCCCACTCCTAGCAGCCCCCCGTACCTTCTATAGGCTTGCCAGATATAACCAGTTTCCTGAACTGGGTGGAAGCTGGAGGCAAGGCTACACACAAAATAAGCCCAGCAGACTAGAAAATACTGGTTTGAGAACTACTGCACTAAACCATTCCGTTGCATCTCATGTCAAAACAGAAATTACCAGTAAAAGCAGTCAGAAGCACCCTCCTGAGCCCTACTTACCTCAGAACAGCCAGGGGAATTAGACAAAGGCCAGCTGATAGGAGGAAGCTAAAGCCTGAGAACCACGCAACAGTAGCTGCATAGAGAATATTAAAAACTGAAAGTGCAATGGTGCCCGTCACAACTTCTAAACAGGCAATACAAGCAAACACAGCACCTGCCAAAAACAAACGGATGGATTACAAACAAAACACAATAAAAACAAAGCTCCTTCAAAGTACTTAAGTTTTTAAACTTTTTTTTAAAGATCCATCTACTGTATTGTAGCAAGTACTCCTACAAAAGACTTATTTTTTAAATGAAAAAACCCCACAACATTTTGCTCATTTTTCTGTGCTATCATTCTATCACCATACCTACTTTCTTGAATCTGCCTATCACATGAAGTTCAAACTGTCCATCCTCACTAACCATGTTCTGCACATCTCTGTCCTTCGCCCCTTCCAATTCTCCTCTCGATTCTCACTCTTCCATTTTCCTTCCTTCTCTAATCTTCACCCCTATATGCGGAAAAGGCTCTGAGCCACCAAAGACTGTTCATTCAGCACATAACCATCTCCTTCTCATTGTTGAAAGGAAAGAAGCAACTTTTTTTTTTTGCACTGTGCTACCCATTGGGCTGGCAGTCTACCCCATCAGTGTCTTGCTGAACACGTTTTCCCAAGCAGCGTTCATAGCCACAGGACCATAAAGAAAATCACAACAAGCAAGCAGAAAAGGATGACACGGGGCAATCTGATTCCTGCATCAAGCTACTCAAGTAGCCCAAGCCCTGAGGAATGCCAAGAAACTGCAAAACCAGGGGTGTATGTTAGCATAGTGCAGTACAAAGAGATCTTTGTTTTAGTGTATAAAGATATGCCTTTTAAAAAATAAACCCAAACAACTCAGGAGAACGCTTCTAGAATGTATATGCTCCCCAAAAGCAAAATATGGGATACAAGAGCCACATTTTGAGGCCTGACATGCTTTTTCCTGTGTTCCGTAAGGAAAGGACTTTGAGAAGAAGTATGATGGGACACGTTTAAGTAGCCACAGGCACCCTGTGGTACATAGCTCAGGATCCAAGTCTGATCATTTTCAAGTGCTTTGAAGGCTGACCACCTATTGCTTTCTAAACTATTAAGTGTGACACTGACTAACTAACAGAGCTGTATCTTTCTCTGCCTGTCAAAATCTTGTGAATGTAAAAGCACATGTGAAATCACAGCTGTACAAATCTTGAGCGTTCCTCTGCTTCAAGTTCCCCGTGGTCTTTATTTTTAGACCAATATCTCCTTTGAAGGCTGAAACTTGCAGTAGTTTTTAAACACAATGTTGTTTATATTAAATTCAGAATCAAAAGACATTAATACTATGACATAGGGTCATATTATATGGAACTTGAAAGAAAAGCAGTCTTACAATACTGATACATATCTGCTTGTTTAAAGGTAATCTTGGTGCATTATGGTGTAATAATACCATATTGTTGTATTGTTTAAAATTGAATTCTACTTACCCTGTTCACCAGGGAGAACCACCTTCGACAGCATGGATCGGAGAACAGGAATGGGCATAAAGCACAGCAAAGATGGCACTCTTACTGTAAAGCAAAGAATCAGTCATGAGGCACTGAAGTAATAAAGAGCCAGGATTTTTCAAATGCATTGCAAATTAATTAGTCATATACTTTTGAATGCTCAGTTCCCCAAATAGCAAAAGGCAATAAAAAAGTCGATCTAGGAGTGCACCGAGACACAACTATACAAGCATAGACAAATTAATAAATCAAATATATCTGTATGGCACTAAAATCAAATCATAAGCAAATAATTCTATTGCCTATTATAAGCAAATAATTCTATTGCCTCTCCACACACTTTATCTTTTAATTAAATTCTAAATCAGTCTGACCCAACACTGTATGTTTTACTTCTCTATGACCCTTTTAAGACAGTAGGTCCAATATCTACCAGCTGCACTCACTACAGATAACAGAGCAGTATTTTCATACGTGTTATTGACTATGGAATGACTGATTCTGAACTCACCTAAAAACATGAGCAGGGTAGTTTTGGCAAAGGCAGTCATGATCATTCCTCCAATGTAAGAAAATATCCCAATAAAGACAATATAAATGTCTTTGAGACATTTAGAAAATAAGTAAACTCCTAAAAAACTTGTCAGAGAGACAGAAGTGAAGGCAGCTGCTCCATACCCAATGTACACTTCATTCCAGCAGAGTGGTTCATCCAGTTCATACAGGGTAAAAAGCGAACTCCCACCAACCATAGTAAACAAGTAAGTCATAAATGTAAAAAGTAACACAATGATTAAAATTCTCTTTTTATGAGGGGCAGTTTTAAAAAGCATGTACACCCCAGAAAATGTCTCTCTCAGAAGTTCTTTACAAGATGCTGGTGCCTGGTGCCGCAATTCAGATACGCCTACTGTATCTTCCAGAAAAAATACAATATAGATAATATTAACAAAGTGAAGCAGAGATGCTGTCACAAATGTCCATGTAAATCCTATTCCTCTTAGAAAGTAGCCAGATGACAGTCCTGCCAATCCAGTTACAACTCCAAAAATCAAATCCACCACAGCTATTCGTGTGGTCTTCTGCTTCTCATCGTGACACACGTCTGCTATAAAAGCAAAGCCTCCTCCAAGGAACGTTGCCATACTCCCAAACAGTCCGGTAATAAATGTAACCGCAAATAGGATAGAGAGTGACAAGTCAAAACGTGATATTACAGTGAGGCAAATATCAGCAATCAAAGCTCCCATTGATGGTAAAACTAAAGATCTTTTTCGTCCCTGGCGATCTCCATTAGCTACAATGACAAAAGCAACTATAAGGCTGGGAACTGCCCCAGTTAAGTCCAACTGCATGTTAAAAACAGAGGCTTTTTCTTGAACTTCCTGCAAAGAGAAAACAAAAATAATTGTAAATACTATAATACATTGTAAAAAAAATTAAATCTATAATAATATTGCACTTACATAATGCTCAGCATGCAATACAACATATAGCACAGTACATGTTTCTAGATTATAAATTACATTTTTATAAAACCTAATACATACAATAATGTTTTATAAGATTTGTCCTGGTTTCAGCTGGGAGAGAGTTAATTTTCTTTCTAGTGATTGCTGTGTTTCAGATTTGGTAAGAAAGGAATGCCAATAATGCATATTGGTTTAGTTGTTGCCAGGTGATGTTTATATTTTTCCAAGGACTCTTTTCAGCTTCCCATAGAAGCTGAGAAGGAGCACAGACAGAATGATGCCAATGGAATATTCCCTGCTGTAGACATCATGCTTGGTATGTAAATGGGGTTAGTTGGGGAGCAGGTGCTCGTGATCACTAGCGAGTGACTTGTGTCATTATTCTTGTTATTGCTGTTTTCCTTTTCTGTTACTGTTCTATTAAACTGTCTTTACCTCAACCCATGAGGTTTTTTTCCTTTTCCCCTCCTTTTCTCCCTCTTCTCCCTACCCTTCTTGGGGGAAGGAAGCAGCTGGAACTGTGTGAGCAGCTGCGTGGTCCTAGTTGCTGGGTGGGGTTAAACCTCAACAGATTAGACGACACTAAAATATATTATGCCAGAATAAAATGCCATACATTACCGTGCGTTATAAGAATGCATTATATTACAGTAATCGCTAAGACAAAGGAATTGCATATTCTGTTTCCCACATCTGTAATTTGACCTTCAATATTCCTCAAACACCCCTTGTTACATTTTAAGCAGGAACATATTTCCTAAGGTACAGTCTTACCAGTACTCTTGACAGAGAAGTTTCAATGGAGACAAGAAATCAATTCTTTTGATCATGCATTCACAAGAGCTGTGCTTATACTGTAAGTATCTCCTTCAGTACAGGGCATGGCAAAAAGGACACTGGAGTTATTTAATCCCTCAGAAATCAGTAGTAAACCAGACTTTGACTGAAGAACACACCCCATGCTCCCTACTCACAGGAGATCATTTTTCCTTCCAAATAATCCTACTGAGAGGGTTACAAGAAATGATCCGCTGACTTGCACATTGTGCAAGTAAACAGATCAGAATTTGTTCTGACATCCCAATGTACAATGTTAATAAAAAATGTGAAACACGGCATTAAAAATTATACCAACTCACTGGTACACGAATTAACTAATTTTTAAAACACTGGAAAGCTCTGGGTTCAGAAACTGTCCAAATAAGTGATGTCTCTATAGATTTGCTACAGCAGGTATTCACATAAGGAACGGCAGCTAACACTGTAACAATAAATTGTAAACACCCACTACGGAAAAATTTCTGCCTTCTTTTCAACGGAAGTATAAAACCCATATGTAGCTGTAAACCAACCAGTTAACAGAACAGAATCACAGAAATCACAGAATCACATGGGGTTGGAAGGGACCTCTGGAGATAATCTAGTCCAACCCCCTTGCGAAAGCAGGTCCACCTAGAGCAGGTTGCACAGGAACTTGTCCAGGCAGGGTTTGAATGTCCCCAGAGAAGGAGACTCCACCACCTCCCTGGGCAGCCTGTTCCAGTGCTCTGCCACCCTCAAAGTAAAGTTCCTCCTCATGTTTAGGTGGAACTTCATATATTCAAGTTTTGCCCATTTCCTCTTGTCCTATCCCTGGGCACCACTGAACAAAGACCGGCCCCATCCTCCTGACACCCTCCCTTTAAGTATTTATAAGCATTGATCAGATTCCCCCTTAGTCTTCTCTGCTCTAGACTAAAAGACCCAAGTCCCTCAGCCTCTCCTTGTAAGGGAGATGCTCCAGGCCCTTCATCATCTTTGTAGCCCTCTGCTGTACTCTCTCCACAGTTCCCTGTCCTTCTTGAACTGGGGAGCCCAGAACTGGACACAGTACTCCAGATGGGGCCTCACCAGGGCAGAGTAGAGGGGCAGGATGACCTCCCTCGACCTGCTGGCCTCTTCCTGATGCGCCCCAGAATGCCATTGGCCTTCTTGGCCACAAGGGCACATTGGTGGCTCATGGTCATCCTGCTGTCCACCAGGACTCCCAGGTCTTTCTCCTCAGAAGTGCTCTCCAGCAGGTCAGCCCCCAACCTGTACTGGTCCAGGGGGTTATTCCTCCCCAGGTGCAGCACCCTACACTTGCCCTTATTGAAGTACATCAGGTTCCTCTCTGCCCAACATGAACATGAATAGCTGTAGAAAAAAAAAAGAACTAAAGAAAAGTCAATTTAAAAAAAAAAAAAAGACTATCTTGTTATGAAGCCAGCTGCTAAATGATGCTCAGCAAGCTAATTCAGATCTTGCTTTAATATATCGATGCAGGCGAGAGAGACAGCAGCCACAGCAGCCCTTTCAAAGTCAACCACCTGATCAGACAGCGAGCAGCAGGGGAAAAGGAAGTAACTTCATTCGCGCAAACCCTTTACACTCTTTATGATAAACTTGTAGATGCAGAGAGTAAAGTCACTCTGAAAGTTTCCTTCAGGCTTTCTGCAGTATCACACTGACTTGGGCAGGAGTTGTGCTCTTCATTCAGTAGCAGGTACAGCCACATAAATCTTCCCAAGCCCTTCTCAGCCTGTATGCAAGCCATCTATATTCCATGTTTCAGGTCTTTGCTCTATAACTAACATAATCCCCACTGAATAGCATCCAAAAGATGAAAAAACTCAAGAATTTTCAGGAATGTACTTTGGGCAATTTTAAAAGCTGCTGAGCGCTTTATAAATTCCTATTTGTATTTACAGACAAAGACCACAAGTTTCCAGTTCAATCTCTTTGTTTACAAGACACCAGGTGTTATTGCAAGAGGAAAATTCAGCTGATCCTGAGGCCTCAAGGAAAACCCTGAAGATCGCTAGAATTCTGGAGTCTTTTACTTTCTTCCCTTATGGTGTCTGACTACCTTAGGATTCATGATATCCTGTCCACTGGCCAGTCCTGTAGTCACCCTGGAAGGGTCAAAACCATGAAGAATGAACAAACCAAGATGGAAAATTATATTGATGTCTTTAACTCCTCCCCTGCTGACAAAAAGAACTCTATGCAGTTGTATACATCACTTCTTTACTAGGATCATGTTTCAGATGTGAGGGTCTAAGAAATGCTAATACATTAGAAATAAAACATATATCATTTCAACCCACATTAACCATACAATACAAATACCATTGCCAAACGATAATGAAGTGTTAAACTGGAGGAACAGAACAACAAAGACTTGGGTTTCATTGCTGTGGATGTAGGTGTGCAACACAAAGAATGTGGCTACACATCCACCTACTGCAAATGACCACAGCCTTGCTGACACAAATGACTTCTTGTCTACTGATGAGAAGACTAAACGACAAAAGTACAGAAAAACTCCATTTAGAGTGTAAAGCACTCAGCTGCCCACTTCATGTTTTTGTAAAGTCAATGGAAACGCTCTTAAAATCAATGAAACGACAGACATTTGAAGAGAAAGGTCTAGTTTTTTTAATCTGCAAGTTCACTTTACTCTGAAAAAATGTTCATGGCTGACAGAAATAGCTCTTACAATCTCAGATTTCAATACTAAAAGAATCGAAATTAAGAAGCAATTAACTTCTGTAAGGATTAAATGAAAAAAGAAGTGTAGTGCCTGGGGCTGAGCAATGCATAGGATGTGATAAACTGATAGACTCATAAAATTAAAAAATTACTGGGTAGTAAAGGAAAATGCATGGATTGGTTAATAAATAAACTGGAAGACAAATAATGTTTAATGATAGCTCTTTCTGAGCTAAAAAAAGAAGAGTATCCAAGGCAGTGGTTGGAATGCTTCAGCTTGTATTCAAGTTACCTTTGAACTCATGTTATTATAAAATGATTGCTTTCCTTCAGATAGTAAGAAATAATTAATCTAAATGTTGCAAAGCCTATCCATTTCGAATCATATTCTACTTTTTTCCAGGCTCCAAATGTTTCTTGTCTTCAATTTCCTTTTACATTTCCCTTTGAAATAAGTGAAATTAGTAAAAACCTCCTCCATTCTCAGAATGGAAGGACTTATACTAAATTAACTATTAAGGGAGGTGTTCTAAAAGTTAATGCCAAATAGGGCCTGCTGGAAACACTCCTGACAGCAAATTTTACAGCATCTGTAAACATAAGTCAGTTAGGACGGTCTTGGAAAATCCAGAACACCTACTTCACACGTCCCCAGCAAAGGGCTTGGAACTGCATTACTGGATCTACCCTCTCCCCCATACCCAGGACTATTACTCAGCACAGAGACCCAGTTCCACTGAAATAAACGGGGGTTTTGAGCATTTTATATACTCATACTGTGGAAACAAGTGCAGTATCAAAATGCAGGCAAGACACTCACACAAGAGCATGATTGTTCAAAAGCTCATGCCCTGCTGGCACTCACTGGAATGGAGGGAATGGAAATTTGGCAGAAAGGGAAACAAAGAAGTTCTGTTGCCCATTATTCAACTACTGTCTTGAAGGATTCATGTTCTCAAATATCAAGTTAATTATGCTTTGTATCCTTTACGTCAAAAAAACTGTAATGCTTGAATTCACCACCACATCAAGAGATGCTATCTAAACTTCAGCTGAAATGAAGCACTCCCTTTCAGTGTTTTGCAAAAAGAAATACGAAGTCCTATATCCTGAGCACAGGTGATCGCCATTTGAAAATCAGGTTGAATTTGGGGGATTTCTAACAAATGCAAACTGTAGAAATGTTTGTGAAATGTACGTTTCTTCATAAGCTCTGCAGTTAGAACTGTATGCACCACTTATGGTTTTCTTACAGGTGCTCCTTCCATGTCAGACACGGGACACCATATGACAAAATGCCCACACACAGCACCAAAAGTGGAACTAATGCTACAGAAAACACTTTGGGGGAGTAACGTACAAGCATTTCTCAGAAAATATTTTTTTTATTATTTCCAAATTAATTCAAATGGGTGGCATACATTACCTTCCTTGGCTGATGGGTCAGCCCAGAAAGCTGGCTGGACTACAATTCTATCAACTTTTTTACTTTCACATCCTTTCTACTATGATCGGCTTCTGTCATTTGAGGAAGAACCTACTCCATGCTAAAATTCCTGAATTATTTACTTGATCATCATCGATGGAAATCTGTACCATAAAAAATTATTTTATATATGACAGATGAAGTAGATCATAGAATCATAAAATTGTCTAGGTTGGAAGGGATCTTTAAGATCATCAGGGTTTTTTTGTTGTTGTTTGTTTTTTGGTGGGTTTATTGTTTTTTGGTTTTTTTTAAGGTTGGACTCGATGTTCTCAGAGGTCCCTTCTAACCATGGTGATTCTGTGATCTAGTCCAACCATCAATCTAACTCTGATAAAAAACCATCACTAAACCATGTCACTAAGCACTATGTCAACCTGTCTTTGAAATACCTCCAGGGATGGTGCCTCAACCACTTCCCTGGGCAGCCCATTCCAATGCTCAATAACCCTTTCAGTGTAAAAATTTCTCCTGATATCCAACCTGAACCTCTCCTGGGGCAACTTGAGGCCATTTCCTCTTGTCCTATCACCTGTTACTTGGGAGAAGAGACTGACCCCCGCCTCTCTACACCCTCCTTTCAGGTAGTTGTAAAGAGCGACAAGGTCTTTACTCGAGCTCAGATGAGCTGAGGTATTCAGTCTTGTGCACATGCAGTACATCAGAGAATCAAATCTGGAATGTAAGCAAAAATTTTCAGCTGCTGCCCTTTCAGCAGCATAGGGAAATGCCAGCTGACTGTTTCCCTGACTCCATCTTCTGTGTAATTTACGTCTGAGCTATCTGCTTTTCTGACTGTACAGTGGTTTCATGTTCCTCTTGATCCAGTCCAACTGCTGATTGCTGCGGCCAAGGTTGGCTCTGTTGCACCTCTTCTGCAAATGTGTTCCCTTGTTTGATACAGCAATACGGCAGCCAGAGCAAGTCAGAGCAGTGCACTGCTTCAGAAAACAACTCAAACTCCAAAAAACTCAAAAAAAAAAAAAAAAGAGATGAGCTGTCTGTTGAATCAGTGCCCTGATCAAATCCAAACTGTAACCTGTAACTGCGGAATTGGGAGATACAACACATGGGGGGGAAGCAAGGCAGGCGAGAGGGAAAGGAAAATGAGAGTATGATCATCTCCTCTGCTGGCATCTCATAGTTAGCTCCGCTTACATGGAGCATTAAGACTGCACTAGAAGTGCAATGGAAGAGATTCCAAACGACGAGTAGGCATTCAGCACCCTCAACTATGAAAAAGTGCTAAAAAAGTAATTGACCGTGGGACACTGTCATCTTGACATCTTTGTATTTCAAGAAGGCAGGCAAGCACTGCTATGCATGGTAAATCATCAGCTATGTTTGACTGTGCACAAATCAGTTAAACATTCTTTTTCATTTTAAAATTACAAAAAAATTTATATTAACCCTCCCCATTCTTCATTCCTGTAATTCCTCTGAAATAGATGTATCCTAAACTAGATCTTGATCCTGAAGATTACATTAGCTAAACTTTTCGTGCTCGCACAGAACGCCAGCAGTCAGAGGGAACTGATGGCGCACAGAGATGCGCAGCTCCCGCTGGAAGGAGGAGCCTTCCCCGGTACCCGCTGTAATGTCAGGCCGATGGCAATTTGGGCCCGATCCTCTAAGACGACTTTCAACTCCCGCTAAAATACGAATTTATCTCAGCATCTTCCTGGAGAGGATTCTTTGCCAGGAAAGCACTGGAGTTCCCTGCACCACCGCGCATCGGCAGGGCACTGACAGCGGGTTACAAAACTACCGCTCCTCTATAAATAAAACATTATATAAAAAGAGGTTACGCTGTGACACACCTCCCGGCCCCAAGTTTATTTACAATTGTGAGGTTATGGGGGGTTTTTTTGCTTTTTTTTCCCCCTCCCCCTCTTACCTTCTGCCTGCTACAAACCGGGCTAATTTTACCCTTACCTTCTGCTTGATATAAGCCGGGCTACTTTTATTCTGCTCGCAGCGGGTGGCATTGCCGTCCCCGCCGAGGAAGGTGGAGTTGTTCTCCTCCTCCCACAGCCGCCGGTAGATGAACTGCTGCACCAGCGGGGTAGTCAGGGAGGAGGCGAACATGTAGACGAAGATGACGGGCTCCACGCACAGAACCTTCCTCATCTCGCCTTCCTCCTCCTCCTCCGCCGGGCGCTCAGAAAACACGGGCTCACCAGGCGAAAGGAAAACAACCCCACACGCTCCGCCCCGGCCGCTTGACAGCCCCGACCTGCCGGGGAGAAGCGGCCCCGCTGTTCCTCAGCGGTCGGGGGCGGGCCCGCGGCCTGGCCGGGCCCAGGGGGGCACAGGAGGGACCCCCCGCTGTGGTGGCGGCGTCCCCCCGGGAGGTGAGGGGATGGGGGGCTCGGCTGGACGAGGGGACACGGCCCCCTCC